TTCCATCCCTGCCTTGCAAGTTTGTGGGTCTCCATGTGACATCACCTGTCAGGCCACCTCACTCTCCTCCCTCAAACTCACCAGTCCCTACTCACTCCCCTATAGCCTGGTCCTGCTGATGTCCTCAGGGCAGAGACTCACTGCACACCAGGGGCTGTGGAAGTTGTGTGTGTGGTCAATGTCACCAGCAGCGTGTGCTGCCTGCAGGATCCTCAGGGCATGAGACCAGGACTGGTAAGGCCAGATCTATCTTGTGTGCAGACTTCCTGGGTACAGTCCTTGCCAGGCATTGCTTAGAGCCAGAGCATGGTACAGGGAACTGGGGAGGCAGCATGTGTTCCATAGACAGTGGTTTTCACATGACTGTCTGAGTATGTGCACCAAACAGACTCACCTTGTGCTGCTGATGTTCTCTCTAAGCCACTTAGTGTCATACACACCAAGTGAGTGTGTCATATACACTATGTATAAACACTACATTTTCAGTAGACCCACCCCCCATACATCCTCCTTGTATTCCTGCCACGATTCCTTGCAACACTTCCAATCTAGCTTCTAACTGCCTTATCTTCTGGCAGCATTGATTATGATCAGACCCACATCTATTTTAAGAATTTTTTTAAACTTGCTCACACTGCTTTGGGCATCCAATTCTGTAATTTCCATTGCATCCTTGCAAGTTTTATTCTCCCAGCTCAGTCAAGGCGTACACTCAAGAAGACACAGAGAAAGCACTTCAAGGCTGTGCTCAAGGTCAACTTAAAAAAAATGCAACATAGACATCAACTCGTGGGAGAGTATCACCCAGGACTGCCCCAAACAGAGGAAGAGTCTGCTGCAAGGATCTCAGTACTTTGAAACCTTATGATGACAACAAGAGACAGAAAAATGGGAGCAGCAGAAACAACATATTATAAACCAAACCAAGACCCCAGAGCCATCCATCCCACATGGAAACATGTATCCAAGCTGAAACAGAGTCTGTCAATCCTTGACTGCGAGGGATTGCCGATGATGATGATATGTCACCCTGAGTACATCTCTACAGCTGCCTGTGCCTCAGTTTCCTCCTCCTTCAATATCCCATCAATCTCTACAAAGCTGGAAAGCAATCCCTATGGGTACGGAAGGGATTAATAATACTGACTCCTCTTATTACTCATCTGATCCATTTTCCTTGCTTCCATGAGGAACTGTGCTGACTCATCACACTGCACGTGACTCAGCACCACAGTCACTGGGCCCATGGGTGGTTTTTCCATGAGCTCCAAAAATGTTCAAAATTGCAAAGAAATGTTTTGTACTTTGAAGCCATTTTTTCAACTTTTCCAATCACCAAAACATTTAGAAAATTTACTATCTTAGATTTGTGTGATAAAAAATATTTTTCTTTTTATTGTTTAGAACTGCCAAGATCTCATTTTTTTCACAGCTCTTTTCACAAACGCTTCCAACATTGGTTGGAATGGGCTAGAAATTATTTCTTAGGTGCCACTGCAGCATCACATGAGAGTGTGAGGAATGGACTAGGATTATATTGTGCTATACAGCAAGTGTACAGACACAGACTAACAGATGGTTCCTGACCCAAAGAGCATACAATTGAGGTACAAGACAGGAGATGGTTGCAGACAGACAGGGGGATCACATAGTACCAACGCAACCCCACTGATTAGCATGGAGCAGTAGTCACAGGGCACTGACTGCCTGCCCCCTGTCAAATCCTTTGTGGGTATCAATCCAGGAGATGAGATCGCCTTTGGTATGGCTACAGAGGTTTTCCCCCATGCAGTTAATCTGATTGATATGCAAAGTCTAGTCCACTCAGGAGAAAGAGTGAGAATTTCCACTGGTTCCTCATAGACCAGAATCACCATCATAGGAAAGCTTCATAAAATTGGCCACAGATTGACCTTCTTTTTATTAGTCTGGGTGAAGGCCAAGGATGGAATGGGCCACAAGACAGAGCTCCATCCAGTGCTCCCAGCCTTTGACCTTGGTACCCTAACATAATCAGAACCCCTCCAATCCCTTCTCACCCCTGCAGTGGTTTCTTGTCAGTCAGAGCTACAGACTCTTAGGGAGGCGGTATCATTACTGGTAGACTTCAGTTGGATCGGTGGCAGTGGGAATCTAGTCCAGGGTCTCTCTGGCTGAGCCCCTATGTATGTCCAAGCTGGCAGTGCTGAGGAAGCACAAAACCAGACGTGTGGCACCACTCTGCTCTTCAATCACTGAGCAGTTGCATCTCCCAAGGGCTGGATTCCATCCTGCAATGGCCAGCAGCGTACATGGAAGTTTGTAGGGAGGGTAAATATTTCCCATCTGGCATTCTCCCAGGGCAGCCATGAAGCTGCCCAGAAAACAATCTGATCCCATCCTCCCTCTCTTCAAGATCCTTGTTTAACCTCACAGCACAGCCCTGCCTTGAGAGGAGCTCAGTTTTTCTGGCAGTTATCCTTCAGTAGAGACACTGCCTCATTTGGGGCTTGTGTTCATTCCCACAGCGAGGACACGGCACATGACTGTCAGTATCAGGGGAGTATGTGTCAGTGCCAGGATCCTCCTGCTCCCTCAACTGTGAGGAGCCTCTCCTTCAGTGTCCTCCCTCCCACCCATCTGCCCCTAACACCCAGCAGTGAGGATCTAGATTGGAGCTTTTCACATGCTCTTTGCTTTTAAGTGAGCAAAGTACAGGCCTCAAGGTAGAATCTGCTGCTGTTCTTTTCTCCAGATTTGTGATACAAGAATTGGTCCAAATGGAGCTGAATTAAGGAGAGAGGATGCTTAGGAAGCCCCTCCTTCCTGCCAACCCAGATATGGTAAATGTACGGGAGCAGGGTTCTTTACTGAGGCTGCTGGACACAAATGGACCCTGTGGTTCTTGGGCTCTTCTGGTCCCTATGGCTAAGTACAGACAGTCAAAAAGCCTGTGGCTGAATTGATTCAGTCTTTGCAGGTTAGTCTAAACTGCATGGATTAAATTGAAACAGAAGTGAACAAACATTTACCTTTGATTCAGGTATTGCAGCCATGTGCACACAGTGACTCAGGCCAGAAGCTGGGGGCACTAGAGCATGACTCTGTGGCTGTCTTCACTTCCTCTTCCTACTGCCCCAAAGGTCTCTGGGATTTGCAGTCCAGAATTACAGCAGCAGGACTTTGCAGGGTTGCTCATCATCACTTCTTCTTCCTGCTGCTGGGTGCCTCTGTGATTTGTAGTCCACAGTCGCAGTCAGCAGTAAGTTTGAGTGGGGAAGGGGTGTTTAGCCCCTCTCTCTGGACCCAGATAGGGTTTGCCTGGGCAGGGGGAGCTGGTGTCCCCCCCCAGTAGACTGGGCTGCATCTCCAGCTGGGCTTGTCTCCCATATGCCCTTGTCAGTCAGCTCTCACTGCTCCAGCTAGGGAGCAGAGGGATGGAGCCAGCCATTTGCTCTCTGGAGCAGACAGCACAGCCCAGTCCAGGGCTGGAAAGCATGCTGGGATGCTGGGGGGCTGTGATTTAACTTCAACCAGGAAGGGATCTGGGGCAGAAGTTTCATAAACTATTTTGAACCAAATCAGTTAAGGCTGATATTACATTCAACCAGGTTTATCTTAAACCAGTTTCAGTCATTTTGAACCTGGCTTATGTATTCTGAGCTTCTGTTCTGTTACAGGTTTAAATCAGTTTCTGATCACTTTAACTGGTTTATGTGTAACTTCTGTCCCTAGCCTACCTGTGTTGCCTGGTGTCACCACTAGGGGTTACCTTAGGCCAGTGATTCTCAACCTGGGTGCTGCAAGATCTTTCAAGGGTGCCATGGGGTGCCACACAATGTTAGCACAATGTGTGCAAACATGATTCACAGATAAACCCAGAGATTTCACATACTAATCCATAGTGTTAAAGGCATTCTGACCTGTGAAACTGGGACATAGGCCAGCATGGCTCCCTCTGTGCCAGCAGTGAAAGGGTTACCTGCCAGGTGTATGTTGGTGGACTTTTTACCCAAGCAAACAAACCAGGAAGGGCGGGAGAGAGATTTCCTTGGAAGATATAAGGTCCCGCCCTGGTCCTGTGCATGTACATGCCACTCGTCACAGAGCTGGCCAAGCAGGTGCGCTGCCCAGAACTACCAGCACTGCCTCATGCACATGCCCTCTCAGTGTCTGCTCCACTCCCAGGTGGCTGCATGTCAACCGGCTGCCATGATGCATTCCCAGACCTGCCGGACACCAGGAAATCACACAGGTGACCTCTCTGTGGGCTTTCATTCACATATAAGTTAGGTATGGCTTGTCTGACAGGAAAAGCTGGGAACTCTCAGGACCTCTGATCCCAGAAGGGTGTGGGCCCATGGGACCTGAGGCTAATGAGGGAAAAGCTGACATTCTCATGGCCTTACAGGCAGGAAAATGCCCCCTAATCTTTAGTCACCCAAAACACTGCTCTCAGGCCCCTACAGCCTGATCCCATGGTACCCTCACTTGTCAAGGGACTCCCTGGTACTGCTTCCTGCCAGGAATTTGAGAGCTGCTGGGGAAAGTATTGTTTTTTCCATGCAAGAAATTTCAAGGAAAACATTTTTTCCCCAGTTAGAATTATCTAAGTGTTCGTTCAAAAGCCCAGTAAAGTTTCTGCTGTTAAAAACTAGAACACTTTTGGTTTTAGGAGGTTTTAGGAACACCCCCCAAAGTAGACCCAAATAGGCATTTTTGTAAAACTTTGTGTGTTTTTTTTTTTTAAAACAAAGTTTTGATAGAGAATTTTAAGAGATCTAATGAGTTCTCTTACTCTCTTTGGCTCAAATTTGGCACAAGTTTTTATGTGAGCCACAGTGGATGAGGATATTTTTCAGGACAGGGTGTTCCTTTAATAATTTTTTCAGTTCAGAGGTGAAATTTCCACAGTGGTTCCTTTGATGGCAGGGAGGGTTATGCATACAGGAGTCTGTCACCCCCTTGAGGCTGTGGGACACATGGCAGTCCAGTGACCCTCTGTTCCATTCGTTCCACGAGAAGGGGGATAAAAGGATATTTCTGTTCGTTTTCATCTGTGAGAATTATGAGATTTGCAGGGCAGCAACTAGCACCATGGGGCCTGTTCTTACTTGGGGCTATTGTTCAGAGTGTTGCTCACTATTGTTATCTGTTTTGTGGTTGGTGGTTGAATTAGGGATCCAGACTTTAGCATGCAAGGTGCTGTATGGATGCATACAGAGACAGCCTCTGACCTGCCAAACCTACCGTTCCAGTATGAGCCACTGTGAGTTGCACTGTGGGCATTTTGGGGAAACTTGCCATGTGAAAGGAGGCTAAAGACAGTTCCTCCCACATCCCTGGAACAATCCAGACCTCTGGCCACATTTGAAGGAGGGAGCATTGTTTCATAGATTTCATAGACATTTGGCCTGGAAGGGACCCCGGAGGATCATCAAGTCCAGCCCCCTGCCCCAGGGACAGGAAGTCAGCAGGGATCATAGGATCCCAGCAAGATAAGCATCCAAATGTGTCTTGAAGGCGTTCAAAGTGGGTGCTTGAACTGCCTCCAGCGCCAGTCTATTCCAAACCTTGGGGCCTCAGACAGTAAAGAAGTTTTTCCTTATGTCCAGCCTGAATCGGTCGCGGCGGAGTTTGTGACCATTCGATCTTGTCATGTCATCCCTTGGGGCGCTCTGGTGAACAGACCTGATGAGCACCCCTGATAAACTTATAGGTGGCCACCAGATCACCCCTGAGCCTGAGATTTACTAGGCTGAAGAGTCCCATGGCTCTCAACCTCTCATCATAAGGCCTTTTTCCTTGCCTCTGATCATGCACATGGCTCTCCTCTGCACTCTCTCAAGCTTCTCCACATCCTTTTTGAATTGTGGAGCCCAAAACTAGATGCAGTACTCCAGCTGTGGCCTCACCAAGGCTGAGTACAATGGGAGAATGACATCCCAGGATTTGCTTGAGAATTATCTATGGATGCAAGCCAGCGTTTTGCTCGCTTTACTAGCTGCAGCATCACATTGAAGCCTCATGTTCATCCTGCAGTCAATCATGACCCCCAAGTCCCTTTCATCTGTAGTGCTAACCAGCATAGCACTGTCAAGCCTATAAGCATGCTGCAGGTTTTTCCTCCCAAGGTGGAGAACCTTGCATTTTTCAGTGTTGAACACCATCAGGTTCTCATCCACCCATTTCTTGAGCCTGTCAAGATCTGCCTGGATCACCCTCCTGTCCTCAAGTGTGGATGCTTTACCCCAGGGTTTGGTGTCGTCAGCAAACTTGGCCAGTCCACTTCTGACACCAATGTCCACATCATTGATGAAGATGTTAAACAGTATAGACCCTAGGACAGAGCCTTGAGGGACCCCACTGGTGACCACGCACCAAACAATTGACTTCCGTCAACCACCACTCTCTTGTTATTTGCCTGTGACTGGGCATGAGGAGATGAAGAGAGGGGGACGCTATGTGGCAGGCCCTGTTGTGCTGGGAAACAGTCTTCAAGTGGAAGCTGGGACAGCCAGCCCAGGCCTAGCTGCAGCCAAAGAGGAGGTGCTGTGAGGAGTCATGTTGCCCTGGAGGTGAATTAGATGAATCTCAGAGGGCCATAGGAGGAAGGATTTAAAGGGCTGTGTTTGCTGAGTCCTGGCCTTGGCCTCATCCCACAGGAGCATCTGTGATGTGCAGAGACCTTCAAATAGGACCATGCCAGCCTGCAGCCTAAACACAGCCAGGCCTGGCCACTCCATCCAGCCTCAAGCAGTTCAGCAGAAGCAGAGTGCACCCGACCCCCTCCTACTCCAAAGAATGTGACCTCACCAACAGCTCTAAACAAGCAGATAAGGAGCCACTATCTCCTGTCTTCCCTCAGCAACCACAGGTTTGGAGCAAGGCTTCCTGGTCCACTGGAACTAATCTGCTGGGGTCTGGGCAGCACCTGACCACACCCTGGGTGGCTCCCTCCCAACAGATTCACTTTCAGAGAGGTCCCCTTTACCTCTCCCCACCCCACGGAGGTTGTTGCTTACAAACACTGATTCTTCAGTGCCACTGCTCTTACATGACTCAAAACAGCTGTGTGTCAGATAGCCCTATTGGCTCATAGGTGCAATCTCACTGGGGAATCTGACTCAGTGGCATGGCTGCCAGATTGTCTTCGGGTGTAGCCAGGAGGGGATGTGATGCCACATGGTGTTCATCTGGAACAGAAAAGTGGACATTTGCTTAGGGACAGCATGGGAAGTAGGTAGTGCCAGGACTCCCATCTCTTTGTTCTTGGTGAACATTGTGCTGGCACCAAGTATGATGCAGTCCTGGTGAAGACTGCTTGTCCAGTAGAGAGCAAACCAGGGCATCCATGTCACATCATATAAGTAACTGAAGAGTTGGCCTGCTGAAATTGCTATGGAACAGCACTTGGATTTGAACTTTCATTCCAGAGGTGAAAGACCCTATTCCCCAACCCTGGCACCTTCACCCCATCTTCTGTAACTCCTTAAACATCTAAGGAGCTGTGCCTTACCTCTTTCTTCCTGCAAAGTCATCTCCATCCTGACCCTAGTCTATTCTTCTCTATTCTACTGACTGTGTTTTCCTTGGCATTCTGCACTGGCATGGCAATGGCCATGGGCTTGGGGTAAGCGTGGATATATTGGCACTACCTGGCATCTCTTGGAGCAGGCCCATGGAGATGAAGAGAAGTGGAGTGCATGCAGGGCTGGTCACCGTGAGCTGTACGGCACTTGCTATTCTTGGCAACGATGTGTGGAAAATTGGAAGCATCAAAAGAATGTTGTTTTCATTTGGTTGGGACTAAGCCAGGCATCTGGGACACAGCTGCGCAGAGGAGACTGGTGTATTCCATTATCTGCCTCTGAGCGAAACATCAGCCATTCACCAAGAAGCATCCCCATACCTCGAGAATTGGATCCTCCCTCCAGGTTCATGTTTGCTACTTGACCTTCACAACTTCTCGCACGCATTGGCACCATTGCAAACCCTTGTGTTTATGGTTTATGTATCCAATGAGGAGTGTGTGTTGCAAGCCTCTCTCTGTGCCCAGTTCCATAAGGAT